ATACATTATTTTCATGAATGAGAATTAAGAAAATCTTTTCTGCTTTCTTATAACTTTGGTATTCTTTTAACATCAAAGTACCTGATGGGAGTTAACAGATGCGTTACCATGACGTCAGGATGGGAAGACCTCAGCAATGACCAGGAGTCCATCGCTCTACAGAAGAGGAAACGCACTCTAAAACTTCATAGCAGAAAAAAAAAGAACCTCCTCGCTCCGACTTCAGATGGCAGAGAGAAACATCAAGGAGTCCATCTCCAAACAGCAGCAGGAAATAATCATGGTCCTGAATCGGCCTAGTCAAAGTCCAGCGGCCAACCTGATTAAAATGGGGTAACTTAATGACAATATGTTATAAAATGTTTTTGTGTTTTTTATAGACTGGAGGTTAAATTTAAGCCTGAAAGAGGATGTACTTCTTTTTTTTTACTGTAACCATCAAAGTGTAGCGTTCAGACAAGTCATTAAATCACACAAAATAAAACAAATACAACTCCACTCAATGCAGTGGGATAATGTAGTTAGAACAAACTGTCCCAGTAGGGAGCAGAGATTCACATTGATGAAGAGGAAGCCTGCATTACATCCTGACGAGACACACTACTCACACGTTAAAGCCCTATTTAAAAAAATAGTTACACTTTAGAGGAAAACTAATCACTTTAGAGAAAATATTGACTTTATTTTTCATGTCAAAACCACAGATTCAGAACCACTAAGTATTTGCTTTCAGTGTCCAGATTCAGTTGAAGCTTTGACCCAAAGTAAAACCAGTTTGCCGTTCAGATGGTGTTTTGCAAATAAAGATGCAGCAGAGGGGATCTTCAGTGCATCCGATTGTCATTTGGTTTGGAAAAGAGGAGGATTTGTTCAGAAATGTTTAATCTCCAAGGAGAATCTGATCCATGCGCTCCCTGTGGATTCAGCATTCCCCTTCCATCAGGGAAGAACATTTCTGTTCCCTCCCTAAATCCTCAAGTCTCATGAAGACAAACCAGTTGGCAATAAAGTTTGACCCATTTCGGTTTGTGACAATAGAGAGGAAAGATAAATTTAGAAAGCCTTTACAGAGTTCATGTGATGCCAGAGCTCATCTCTGACTCAATGGAAGCCCTTTAAGCAACAGGTAGAACACCCCGTTTTTTTCACAAAATATCACCCAACCGAGCTCTGAGGGCCACGTTTCCCCATTTAAACTGCTCTGCTTTTATAAATATAACGATGCCATAGAAACCATCAGCTTCTTTATGAATAAAGACAAATCTCCATAGCTTTAATCTGCTTCTAAATGGTTGGCTTTCCCATCTGGTTTCTGCATTGACCGTAAAAAATATAAAGAAATGTATCTGAAAAACCCTAAAGGGGAGTGAGGAGCCCACATTCAACAGCTTAATCTCATGTATCAATCTGAGGGAAAACATTTTCGTTTTTTTTATGTCAGATTTTAAAAATTTCTTTGCTAAACGGATTCATAAAAATAAGGTTTTGACCTTTACTGACAGAATTTACAATAGTTTGAATTTAACGATTACATTTAATTATTTGGGCAAATTAAACAGCTGATAAGAGTGTTTTAATGATTCTTGATCTGGTTTGGTTTCGTAGATCCAGTGTTTTATCAGCGTTTCCATTTCTGTTTCTGCCTGAAGAAAGCCGCTGGAAGTTAGCTCTGGTTTCTGTCGGTTAGCACAAAGACAGAACAATGTGAGGCAGAGAGAGAGCTTAAAAGGCGTCGTTTGGATTGTTTTACCTCCCATCAATCAGAGCTAATGTTTTAGAGCCTCCTTTTCTTCCAGCCGACCTCGTAAACGCAGTCTGAAGCTGTTTATAAACACTGTTGACCTCTAGTGTTTATACGTCCTGCTCCTTGTTATGGCTCCAGTGGTAGAGGTGAGTATTTGCATGGATGTTGTGATATGATATAGGTCTCATGATACTTGGGTTACAATATGATATTATTGCAATATTTTCCCCAACTATCAAATAAAATGTATGCAAAAAAAGCTGTATTAGAAAATATTTATTGTTTAGTTATTTTGGTATCCATGTCATTTGGGGTTTGATTCAGTCTGAATGTCCGAATGTCCGCCCTAATCACTATATAGGGCACTAGATAGTGATTACACCCTTTTAGGTGAGTGTCCGAATGTCTAGTAGATGCAAAAATGGTGGACTCGAAAAGTAGAGATCATCCACGGTCACTAGACGAGCAGATATATCCCGGAATGCTTTGCGAGGAGCAAAGCATCATGGGATTTGCTCTCACTTTGGTCTGCTATTGCTACCCGACAGCGGCAACAAATAATAAAGTTGGAGCAGGCGCCGTACGCGAAGGCAGTCACGTGACCGACGGGGAGAGAAAAGTACCTTGAACCCCAGTCAGCCTCAGCAGATGGCCGCTCACACTGAGCCTGGTTCTGCTGGAGGTTTCTTCCTGTTAAAAGGGAGTTTTTCCTCTCCACTGTCGCTACAAGCATGCNACACTGAGCCTGGTTCTGCTGGAGGTTTCTTCCTGTTAAAAGGGAGTTTTTCCTCTCCACTGTCGCTACAAGCATGCTTAGTGTGAGAGATTGTATTTGAGTCAATGAGTCAATGCAATCAACTGGTTTTCCTCAGATAGAAAACTTTGTATCAATTTGATTGTATGATCTGGTTGAACTGTAAAGTGCCTTGTGTTGTGAATTTGGCGCTATATAAATAAACTGAATTGAATTGAATAGTGATCATCTGTCCAAATGGTCAGTTAACAGAGTTCACTATATAGTCCACTATAGTACTCGCTCTATATAGTGATTGGACGCCCGGGCACAGTCCGCGTCTCCCACTGTGACTGACTCCACTACAGATATGGCGCTGCGGCGCACAGCAAAGAGGCTCCACAGCGCTATCTACAAGAGTAGCGGTGCAGAGGTTGCCCATTTTCCCTCATTGTTTTTAATCGATAATAGGAACTGAAAGACTGATATATAAGGCAGCTGAAAATCACAATATATCGCCCAATCTATTTTTTCCCACACCGCTAGTGTTCATTCTTTTATCGCTTTTCACTGTGGTAGCTTCAGTTCCTGACCAGATACCAAAAAGACACTTTCCGGTTCAAACTGGTAAACACCAGTTCATCACCAGATTTTTTATGATTTATAGAAAATTGTTTTTTCTTTTTTTTATTGATGTAGGTTCTGATACCTATTGGGGCTAGCTTTAGCCACAAGCAACCTCTAGCAGGTTGGTTAAGGCTAAAGATCTCTTGCTACAGTGAATGAGAGTCATCAGCTACTGAGGAACAAGACATGAATTAATCTGTAAAGGCTTTATGGGGGCGGGGCCCTGACTGTTGTTGATGCTAAAAGCATTTGGCCACAAACTTCTCAGGAAAACCTAAAAACACGAAAACTGTGAAGCACTTGGATGACATCAAGTGTTGGTGTTTTACTGCAGGAGGGACGGGTTAAGATTACAAAATAGATTGCACCATAAAAGACCTTATGTAGAAATATTAAAGCAACATCTTAAAACATTAACAAAGAAGTTAAAGCTTGGACACAATGTATTGTTTTAAAAGCCATAGAGAGGGAGTTTATGTTTTACCACCACCTCATTCCAATATGGAAACCTGACACGGTTCTATCGGAAGGAGTGGGCCTAACTTCCAGAATTATAGACCACAGTCATTATGGCTAAAGCACTGAATCAATTCAATTAATATAAAAGTCAACTTAGTCATCTAATTGAAGGATCCAGGCTTTAAATTATGCCATTTGCTTGGAGCCAATCAGAGCAGTATTTAGGCCAAAACTTTATATGTTTACATCTAAGGTTAAAAACCTTGGTTTGTAAATATGCAGTATCCACAACTCTTTAAATGGCATTAACGTTATTTATCAATCAATTAATTGCTAGATTAAAAAACAGCCTTTTAGAATCTAACAAAAACAAGATAACCTTTTCAACACTGCTTGCAAATATTCTAATTAAACTGTAGACACTGTGAAATGAAAGTTATACGTGTTTTCACACATTAACTGTCTGGTTTCATACCTGGTAACATCTCAAAGTTATCTGGGTTTCGTATTGGGTCATGACGCCATGGGAACCAGCTGAACATGATGGGTGATCAGAACCGTAACCACTGCAAATTAGGTGTAAAATGAAACCTGCAGAAACTGCGTTAAAATTTTCAGAATGATCTAAAAACATCAAATAACGTCTTTAACAACCAGTATAAATTAACTGATGCACAACGTTTAAGGGAGTGATAACAGTCAGGTCTTGCTGATGGACAGAAGGGTGAGGGCTTCATCTGGCGGCGAAGCTATGCTCTGTCGGGGCGAAGATAGAGCTGAGCCAATCGGAAGAGATATCAACTCTTTGGTCCGTCGAGGTTTCATTTAAACTAAGGTCATGAGATTCAGACATATGGTGGTTTTCTGCGCATGCGTCACTGGAAGAACACTCTGAAGGTCAGGGGTTTCCTCCTGGAACAATGACCCGACCTCAGATAGACAGAAGACAAGGGATGGATGATTTGATAACAAGCATGCAGGTTGAACAAGCTGAGATCTAGAACTGCTGATTACAAACGGTGTTTAAAGCTCACAAATAAAACCCCGAAATCCCCACATCCTCCGTCTCCACCCGGCTGCGCTCCAGACCGTCTGAACAAAGCAAACAGCCTCCGCTGTTCCTCCCGTCTTCCTCGGCGCCGACTTCCTCGGATTTAAGGAGAAATTCAAATTCAAAGGCGCAAAACATGCGGAATTGAATGCTTAATTTAATATGAGATATTTAAAAAAATTCCCATGAGCATCCAGCATATGTTCAGTTTCAATTTTATTTTGTTATTGATTTTTGTAACAGGGATAACTAGGATCATACATTTTTTTGTATGAACTATTTGTTCTCTGCTTCCAAACTCAGCATCTCTTCATCCATTCCTGCGATAAGAAGTTTTTGAAGTTGTGAGAAGTTTTGAATGGATTTGATTAAACTTTTAAGCCTCTCGGTATAAAATAAATAATTTGATGGAGATGAGAAATCTGCTTCCTGGTATGTTGAAGTACCAATAGTTTGCATCCAATCATTTAATTAAACGCTCTTAGTATTGGGTAAAATATAAGAATTATGGTCTAATGTTTAGTTACCATATCTTAATTTGACAAACTGGATCTTCGACGTTCTTTTTCCTGTTTGGTGCGAGCAAAAAATAGCTCTGCTCTGTATTTTGACGGTGATGGACGGAGAAGACGTACGTGGACGATGACGTGCGGAGGATGTGGAACAGCTCTCATTGATTAACATGACAGAAGTACTCTTCACGAAATACGTAAGCGGGGCGGAGTGGAGCGCTGAGTATGTGGAATCTGAGGGTGATGGGTCAGAATTGCTGCTGATTCATGGAGACATGCCATTTAAAAAAGTAACACCAAGTACTGCTTGCTAGGATAATCTTGTTAGGCCTATCTTTAACAAGCTAAAAGCAGAGTTTATAATTCAAATGGGAGATATTAGGGCAGATTTTTGCAAGGGTAAATGGAAAAACATTGATTCCTGCAGAACTGGTCCTCAAAGGAAAACAAAGACTCAATGGAGAGAGAGTCAAATATTTACTAGAGGACACATTTTAACTTTTTTTCTTTACTTGGTTCAATTCAGATGGTAAACCGTAAATTTGTTCCTTTTTGCTGCTTTCAGGGCTCATTGGGAAATCAGGATGTGTGGCATTAATTAGTTAAAACAGTGTAGCTCACAGAGAAAATAGGTCCTTCTCATTGGTCAGGAGAGACATAAAAAAACGCAGAGAGGAGGAAGAAGTTTTAGTGTTTTTTAGTTCATTTTCTAAAGTGGATAATTAAATAAAAAAACAAACAAAAGAAAAGTCTATAGTTCTAAAAATGCTACAGTTATTACAAAAATAAACAGAAATAGTTAATTTTGACTTAGTGTTATGGGACTGTGTGCCGATTGGTTATCTGATCTAAAACAAACAAAAAAAAACAAAGTTTAAAAGTTTTAGTGTAGCAGACATGAACTGGGGTGCAGCTTCTATGCATCTCTAGTCACCAGTGCTTGATAAGTTTCACTCTATGATAAACAAAATACATCTATCACAAAACAGACAGAAAAAAGTCATTAAAAGGGATATAACCGCTCTATTTTCACTGTTCTTACACAAGAATAATAGAAAATTAGTGGAACAAGTCCTCTGCTACCATGACTCCAGTGTTTACATGTTCACTTAGTGTGTTTCTGCTCGTTTACAACAGGAAGCTAAGATATTTATGGCTACAAAATACAGTCTGAGTTCAAAGGTTGCCACTGTCAGTAGTAAATTCAGGCTGCTAAGGAGTCCAAAGGTTGGGACGAGGCTCTGTAGTGAAAACGTTTGTAGATTGTCGGGTAGGTGAGGTTAAAAAGTTACTCCAAGCGTCACAGACTCCTTCAAAACATCCGATTCTGGCTGCAGACCAAACAGACCACAGAAATGAGCCTCTACAGCGTCCAGCTCCTCCTCCTCCATGATAAAAAACAGACGGCTCCTCTGCTGCTCCTTCGCGGCTCAGCCTCCAGACGTCAGAAACATCCAATTACACACACTCACCCACACACTCGCGCACACCATCATTATTGCCTCTTATTTAGGGAACGCACTCCCCACAGTTGAGTGACTCACACCAGATTAAGAGAATACTCCTGCACAGCTGCTTCAACTTTTCTTATGGCGTTGGTGTTAACGACGCGCCTCGGATCCGTGTGCAGGAGTATTCTGTTCCACCTGAGTCGCCTTCACAGCCCGGAGGTCTTTAGTGTCACGTTTCATCTCATCCTGTTCTGCCGCATCAGGGGGACGATGCATGATGGCGGACCTGCCTTCGACAGAAACGGGTGCTTCAGGAGTTCGTCGGCCGTGGCCCGCTGGGCCGGTTCCCGCACCAGCATCCGGTCCAGGAAGCCTTTGAGGAGAGGGGAGACCTGCCGGGAAAATCATTTTCTTATTTCATAGAAAATAAGAAATATGCTTTCTGCTACAAAAAAATAATCTAAATAAATTGGAACTAATTTATATAACTGAAAGCGATTCTCAGGTAGTAAGAACCTTTAGCATTCTTGCTAACCAGATTACGTCATACTCTACAGAAACGTGATGCGGTGCACCTCAGGGTTCTGCACATGAGGCTGTCCTCTTCCGTATACATTAGAAACGTCTTTCAGCGAAATCGTCCCTTATCTTTATGCTGATGATAATCAGTTTCACTCTTCCTTCAAGCCTGCTGGCTTTTATAAACTTTCCCATCTAGTGAATCAGCATCAGTTAGAAAATAAAGGATAATCACTAATAATTCAACCCCAACAAGAGTGAAACTTTAATCAATTCCAAAGCTAAATTCTCCAAGAAACCTGGAAGCATTATCTGGATTTTCATTTTTTTCAGGGAGTTACAGACCTCTGCTGTAAGATGCAGCAATAAGAGATGCTTTGCAGGCATTATTTAATGAGTGGAAACTGTTTTTATAAGAGAGCAAGATGACTTTGCTTCAAGACTCCTAACCTGCATTTGTAATATATCCACTGCAAGCAATGCTATATTCTCTGTCCAATCTTTAGGGCCTCTAAAACTGTTTGCTTCTTTGCTAAATACTGCTATTGCCTAATGGCGCCGCCTTTCCTGGCCATTTCACAGCCACATAGAAATGCAAAGCAAAGCGGAAATGACACCGCTGATAAGACCTAAACCACAATCATCACAAACTGATCAGCTGGACCAAAGCTGCAAGTTTCGCTTTCACCAAATACATTTGGAATATGTAAAAGTGATTTCTCAGCACAACAAATATAGATGACCCGTTTACAGTCAGCTAACTGACTGTAAACGGGTCTATTTGTTAGAAACAAACCCAGCTGTCTATGAGGGTCAAACATTTCTGCCTCATTCTGATACCTTCCTCTGTAGCTCTGCGGTCGGTATAAAAACTTCCAACATCTACTGCCTCCATTCTACGCAGTCAGTATACACCTGAAAGATGATGCGCTGAAGCCCAATCAGGTTTCACAGGGTTTAATAGGTCCGTGCATCTGTTTAATGGTTTTAGTTTGCAGGAACCCAAAAGGCGTTAAAACGTTTTTTTTTATTTTTAGGTTTTCACCTTGTGCAGGTTCTTCAGTTTGGGGGGCAGGTTGTCTCGAATCATCTTCATGGCTTTAAGCGGCGGCTCGTTGAAGTATGGCGGCTCTCCGTCCACCATCTCTATCACCATGATGCCCAGAGACCAGATGTCCACCTGCAAACAGCAGAGACCGAGCAACCAAATGTCTGATTAGTTCATATACGACATCTAAAGCTCAGTCTGGATGGTATAACAACTAAAGGTAACTGGCCAGTCGATTGGACCCAATGCTTAAAGTGATATAAAGCCCTTTTTCATGAGCACTAGGGATGGGAATAGAAAACCAATTCCAAGACAACGTTTAGCAGCTTGCTTAACGATTCTCTTATTGATTCCAGGAAGCATCAGAGCCTAGCGCTGTTCAGCACAACTTAACTTCAAATTTTTTACGCAACGTACTCACACGGCATTCAGTAAGAAAGTACAACGTGACCAGGCATAAGTCTAGAAAAGCAAAACAAAAAAAAATGAAAATGAAAAAATCATCAGGTAAAGCGATCGAAAGTTTGGTTTCATTTTAAGGAAGAGAAAGATGGCAACAAGGCGGTATGCAATCATTGCAAAGTGGCAATTACATCCGCGGGAGGAAATACATCCAACATGCAGAAACACCTGCGCACACAACATGGCATACATTTTAATGAATGCCATGTTTACGATGCCTTCCGGACAGACGCTAAAGTTATGACCAGCATGGAAGGCAACTTTGGTGGTAAGTAGCTAGTTTTATATCTGATGTGGTTCCTAGTAAATCATATGCAATTTCTGGAAATAAACCAATTTCCTACCTCTCTTTGGGGTTATTAAGGGAGTGCGCCTTTCTCATTAATCCAGCCCTTCGTTGCTAGCATGTTTAATTAGAACCACTGGTAGCTGGAATTCTTACATGATTCTAGCTATTGCAATGGATGTAACGAAACATGCTACCAAGTTGCTCCGCAGTTCAGGGAGCGAGAGAAAAGCGACGCTTGTTTATTTAAATCAGGAGGAGATGAGTTTATTTCCCAAAATTATACAGTAATGCTTTTTCATTAAACAGAAATAATAAGGAATTGAATCGTGAAAATCTTATTAATTCCCAACCCTAACGAGCACTTTTGCTCTTTATTAGGGGTGTAAATCACATCCATCATGGCGATTTGATTCAGTATCGATTTCCTGACCCGACGATTCGATTATTTTCGATACTCAAGAATAAACCACGATACGATTCGATAAATTAGTTCTTTTTTCTTTTTTTTTTAACACCTTACAGGTTAGACAATGTTTCAAATTTGAAATAAATCTATGAAAGCTGTAATATTGTTATGCATTTTTTTGAGAAACAACAGCAAATAACAGAAGTAGAAAAGTTGCACTCCATCTATTCCTAATAAAACCTCATTCACTGAAAAATAATAATACCCCTGTGTTATAGATTCTTAAAGAGGCCTTGCATCAAAAAATACTGCACGAAATCAGTGCAATGAGTGCAATGCAAAGCCTCGGCTCCAGACGTCCCCGCCCCCTCCGCAGAAGCTCCGCTGCGCCTCTCCCAAATAGAGCTGACCGCAGACAGGAGGCCGGCTTGTTTTGTTTTTGTGACCGAAATTGCGAAAAACAACTTGTGAAGTTTGACCAGCTAGAAGAGTCAGGGGTGCAAGAACGCTGGGATCCTTTTTCCACCTGGATCTCTGCACTTTTTGGCCCTCATCTTACTCCGTCGTGGGACTAAACTCGCCCCCACTTCCTCACCGCCTCGGCCAAATCTAGACCCACAGCGTGTAGCACAGACCACGCTTCAATATTGGGCATAAATAAAAAATGTCTGTGTCAAGCTCACTGCAACACACTGCTGTAAGAAGCACGGTAGGAGGGCAAAATAGGTTTAGCGCCACTGCAGTACGGGAGGGAGAATTACGTCCAGGAGCAAAAAAAAAAAAAAAAAAAACAATCGATTATCTTGCAGACGTATCGATGCATCGGATTGTCGGCTGTTGGATCGATGCAAAACGATTATTATTTACACACCTACTCTTTATGTTAAAAAACGAGAAGAGATGTGGTAAAGGCCCTTTCCTGATGCAGAAAAGCCTCAGTGTGCAGTTTGTCTGCATCCTGAAACATCTTTAAAGAAGAGATGTTTGATGATCTGGGACAGAAGATGGGCACCTAGCTGGCACAGCAAAGCACACAAGAGTTAAACCTAAAGGCTATCTCTGTTAGAGCTGTTTCAGCCTGAATCATCAGGACAATGATCTCGAACCCAGCAGCTAATCGACAGCACAACGGATGAAAGAAAAGATTCTGGACAAAACAACGGTTCATTGTTTAGTCTATTAATCAGTTGGAAGAAGAAAATGATGAACAGCAGACAACTGAGACTTATTGCTGCTATCTGAAAGTCATGAAAACATTTAGGACACAAATACATGAGAAAACAAAATAGAACTAAAAGAGATTTAGAAAAAAAAAACACCAACCACCAAGATAAATGGAGTAAAATAGTGGATGTATAACAAACCCTTGGGGAACATTAGCGTCACAATATCCAGCTAAATGCTGTTTAGGGAAAGGCAAACATTTATTATAAACAGAATTTAAGAGTTAAGTTCACCTCTGGTCCATAAGGCAGCCTGGATATAAGCTCTGGAGCCATCCAGTACGGCGTTCCAACCAGAGACTTCCTCCTCTGAACTTCCTTCGAAACCTGAGCGCAGAAACCAAAGTCTGACAGCTTCACCTGAAGGCAAAGAAGAAATGTGAAGATCACGAGGTTAGAAAGATATTTCTCACTTATTTTCTGCTATTATTCACACGTTTGATGCTCAGGAAAGCTAGATTTTCCTTCCAGCTGCATTAAAAGTTGTGCTTCATTATCTGGGGCATAATTTTGCTTCGTGAATTTTGACATGTGAAAGAAACTCCATTAATGAGATTCACAGCAACCCACCCTTTTTCTTTCTCAGAAAGTTGGTGCATGTTTGAGTAATGCTGAGAATCAGCCTTTAAAGCGGACCACAAGGCTGCAGCTCTCAAACAGGGAGGGGGAAATGAAACAAGCTCACTCAGAAAAGAGGTGCTTATTAGTACAAACGCATTCAGGGAGCAAAGGCCAGAAAAATCGCTCCTAATCAAACAGCTCAATCTTTGAAAACAGGCAGTGACAACGCAAATTAAATCAACATTAATAGAAGATAACAACAGCAGGCAGGTGCCAGAGGAAGGTCCGACACACGCCCATCCTTCTGCCGAGAAATGTTTCAGGGTTGGTTGAGTCTCCTTCCCCTGCTAGGCCAAACCACAAACTCACACCCAAACACCAAAACTCTGCAGCCAATAGTTTTCGCTGAACTGCAGACAAACAAAAAGCTTTTCCTGCAAACAAGTTCTCTTTTCCAGATATCAGTACCACCGTCTGTAACAGAGAAAGAGGCAAATTTGCATCAAAATATTTTACATCTCCAAAAAGTGTTGCATCAAAGCTCTGGAGTCGTACTGCAGAGCAAATATTAAGCCTTGCAACACGTCAGCTTAATGTAGGAAGTTTAACAGATGCTCTGGTCAGCAGAGACGTGCTAGATGGTTAAGTAAACTAGCCACAGGACAGTCCTGACACATTAGAAGCTGCAAAGTATTTTAGACAGAGGATCGGCGCTCAGGTTCCAACAGAACTCAAATATGCAGCCACAGCTACAATGAAGTGGTTTCAACTAATGTATATTCAACTGCTAGAATGGCCTAGTCAAAGTCCAAAGCTCTCTGTTAAAGGTATAGAGGACGACCTTTTATTTCTGGGTGACTCATCAAAATAAGTGGTTCTCCTAATTGTAAATCATTCTGGTGATGCGCACTTTCCAGCATATATTTGTGGTGAGCTGCGGTTTCAGACAGTCATTGAAGCTCACCTTTCTCACGGCGGTTCTTTAAAAATGGCCGAGGGTGGTAAGAGAAAAGGTGTCTACGAAGTGCATGAGAAGAGAAAGGCCTCAGCAGAAGCAGATATTTATCGCAATGCTTTGCACGAAGAGTTCTCCTGGCAAAGCATTATGGGATTTGCTGTATAGTGATTGAGGGATTTAGGGCGGATGTTCGGACACAGTAAGCTTGTATGAGCTATGAGAACAGAAACTTTAAAACAGAGCGTGCACAAGGAAAAATGGACTCGTGCACGCTCTCGCACACGTTTAATAGGCATTCTCTCTGGAGCGGGTGTTGGGTTACATGTGCATTTTTTTAAAGTGCAGTGAAAAAAAAATCAGGAAAATCCTCCACAATACTTTTAAATCTTTATGTTTTTAACTTGGACTTAGACAACTTTTATTGTCCTGTTGTATAAACAGAGTGTATTTCAATTTGTTCAGCTTTCAGAAAGAAAAGCTTAAAAAAAAAAAAACATCTAATGTCTGAGTTTGAGATGTTTTGTAGAGAATGGTAAAAGCTGCTGCTTGACTCAAAGGACTGGATACAAAGGCATGCCGCACTTTTCAAAATTTTTGTTTAGAAAAGTGAATTAAATGAAAAGGCCTTTTTTTTGCATGATCATGCACTCATTTGTGGTCTATCACATGAAATCTCACCATGGTACACAAAATAGAGGTTTTATCAGGTTTTAATTTGCATACCACTGTATTAAATTTAGCATTTGTCACAAACTCATCTTCCTCTGAACTTCCATATGAATTCAAGGTTGCTTTTTACGTTCTGCGGAAACTAAACACGGTTCCCATGTTTTCAGTGCCAACCTGATGGACGGTCCAGATTATATGAAGGTCTGCTCACCATTCTGTAATGATCTATAGTTAGATGGGCCTGATATCAGATTGATTATATCATAGTGACGTCAAAACCTTATCTTTAGAGGTTTAATATTAACTCGCTGCTAAAGCAAAGCAGATACAATAAAAACTGCTTGATCCAAAACGTGCCTCCTCTTCACACTAAAACTATATCAAAGTTTCCAGTTGTGGAGCTGGTTTATAACGTCTCTTTATGGCTGCGGTTTGGTTTTTTTGCGGCCCGCCAGTGGGCTTGGCACCATCCAATTATGTCACTTTCAACAGTGAGTTTACATCAGCGCTATCACTATTATCTATGTTTATCTGGCCTTTTTTAAAGCAAAAGGCGTTACAAAGCACTGATGTCCCAAACTGGTGTGTTTTCATTAAGCTTGCTGCCTTAAACATTGCTTTCTAGTTAAAATATCCCATCACTTCCTGGACCTGGTCACGTTTTCATTGACCAAAGTCTGTTACTTATTAAAGATCAGTTCTGACTATGAGTGCGCAACACATTTCTAACAACACTAACCCTCCGCTTATGAAACAGAAAACCTGCAATTCTCACTATGAGCTTTGTTTTCTTTATTTTCGGTCTTGGTACTAAAATTGAAGCCAGCAGGAGGCCTGTCGCTGCAAACTTTGGGTCAGACATCAGCTCAAAAGACGCCAAACCATAAACAATAGTCCACTTCCATTGAGGATTAAACATTAGCTTTGAATGAGCTCATATGCATGACATGCAGCGTTCATCATCGCAGGCAAGAGTCATTCCTTTCACAGATCTATTCATGGGGCTGTAACATTTGGTTTTTATAACAGGAGCACTAGTGCTCCAAAATAAAAATAAAAATCAGTGGCACAGAAAAAAAAATGTGCTATGAATTTTCTTTCCTTTTTAATTAAAGTTAACCTGGGTAATAATTACTGTTTCTTGAGGCTGTCTTTTTGTCAAATGGGGTTTCCAGTCACAAACGGCGAATTCCCTGCCTTATAAGGTTGTCCTCAAACTCAAACCAAGGGTAGCCTTGTTAGCAGTGTGGCTAAAAATCATCAAAACGAACTGCTGGAGGAAACATGTCCCGTTTGTTGACATCTCCCATCAAACATAAAAAAATTAAGACCCATTAAATTCATCTAAACATCAATCTATCCAGGTGTTACCTTGATTCTTGTCACACGGCATTTGCTGTACTTAATTTTTGCAAGACCAGTCATGATGATGATGCCATATTAAATGCAATTGTATAATATTTCGGCTTACCTCTGATAAATAATATGAATATCAGAATAAATTCTTAAAGAAGACGATTTTTAGACTATATTTATTAGGGATGGAACGGTTTATGAAAACCGTCCGAACCGTTCGGTTCGACTGTCTCGGTTCGGTTCGCGTGTGTTGCGTTCGGTTCATGCGCGGCTCCTTTTTCTCATAGGCGAAGCGATTACACTCCAGAGCAGAAGGTGGCGGTACTGCGACCAAAGCCAACCACCAGTAGTAAACAAGAAGAAGAAGAAGCGAAGCAGCGTAGCCGGGTGTAGCAGAAAAAAATCAGTTGTTGTTGAGAAATGTGTGCGTATGGCGAGTGGGAAAGAACAGGAGTTGGAAGACGCGCCAGCAGCACTTTATAGGTCTGCTGTATGGGACCACTTTGCATTTAGAGTGACCTACGATGACGGCGGAAAGAAAGTTGTGGATAAAAGTGCAACAGTGTGCAAGCATTGTGCAAGAAGTTTTGTTTATGCTAACAGCAACAAGACCAACATGTCATGCTAACCCCGAAATCCCTCATACTCCGTCAGCGCTCCGCTCCGCGGCGCTCCAGGCTGCCTGCGCAAAGCAAAGCCTACAGCCGCCGCTGTGGCTCCCGTCTGCTCCGCTCTGAGTTCCTTGGAGATGGTAGAGGGCATGCGCGAGATGATTAAATTCAAAGCAGCAAAACATGCGGAAATGATCCAGGGTTTCCGTGGATCATTTAAAAATAATTACAATTCATTAATTTTTTTTGGAATTTTTCATTAATTTGATAAATTTTTATTATTTTTATGATTTTTTTATTTTTCTGTGTAACAATAAACATATACCGAACCGAACCGAAAACCGGGAACACGAAACCGTGAACCGAACCATGGATTTTGCGAACCGTTCCACCCCTAATATTTATAGTGTGTCGCTGAAGAAACTAAACTCAGAGCCATCAGTGCATGGGGTTTGCAAAAGTCTAAAACACAGGAAATGGACACTAGATTTTGTTGCGAGTTGGTTTTTTTTTTGTTGAAAAAAATAGAACAAAAGAGAAAAGTCTGAAAAGTCACCAACTTTCTCAACAAAGCTGTTAACACCGTGCTCACCTGCCTTGGTGAGTGGATTGCAATCCGGCACAGGGTTCCCGTTTTTACAGCACTTCAATAACATTTATGTTTCAATGTGTAGGTAAATGTGTTTTAAAACGCTGTTTCAGTGGCCGGTGGGTTCATTACACGTCAGAGTATCGACATATTTCCATTGTAGTTTTAGCGTAACAGGTGTGGAGCTTTCTCTTTATCCAAAATGTACCGTCTGCTGTTGGGTCAGCAGCCTGATCATCTCCCTCGGTGAGCTGATCGCAGTCTGAACGGCGCAGGGTTACGTTCTCACAGCCCTTCTCTCATGTTTATGTGCATACAAGGTGGTAAAAAGGTGCACACTGATGTGCCACATTAGGCCTTGCTGCCAGAAATCTCTAAGGCAACAGTGACATGTCGTGACTTGTTACCCAAGTATTTTCCACTAAAAATTTACGATTCGACTTTTTCGAAAGTGTTTCTCTTTCTTGTTTATAAAAGACAAACAGATATCTTACCTAATTAAATCCCGTCTTACTTTAGAAGCAAAAAATAAAAGAGCTGAAATCTGTGTTCTATTTTTTTCCCTATATGCACAGACCTATTTTTAGGTGTAAGAGCGAGTAAAATGCTCACTCTGTATAGCCTTGATTCAGTTAATAAACCTGACTTAAATTTTGTAGTAGGGGTTCAGGTACACATTGGAGAGAAAGGCAGCTCTAGATCAGATTCCAGCGGAAAGGTGTTTTACAGGAAAATAAGAGGGGAAAAAAGGAGAACTGCATCAAAAAAAAAAAAACTGTTAACATTAGGGATGCACGATATTGGGATTTTGGCCGATATCCGATATGCCGATATTTTAAAACTCATGTAGCCGATAACCGATACCGATGTTAAAGCTGGACAAAAATAAGTAGTCATTGAAAATAGAAGTTTTGTTAATCATTTCTGACACGTTGAAAAATAATATACTCAAATATATTTTCATATGCTGATATCAAATTGATTTTTAAAAACGCAGTATCGATCTATTTTACTTTGAAAGTCTCGTGAAATTTCATCGTTCTGTTACAAACTCTCGTGATATTTTGCAAATTCTTTGGGAGATTTGGTTAGTAAAATAGATCGATACCGCATCAATATATCAACATATAAAAATATGGCAAAATTTTGTGAATTTTCGGGGGATTTCGTAGCATAACGATGACATATAGTAATATTTCATTAGTAAAAGAGATTGATATGGTGTTTTTAAATATATCAGCATATGAAGATATTGTGATATTTTAATGTATCAATATTTTTTCCCTCGTCTTTAGAAGTTTTTAAGTCTGTAAAAAAGAAGTTTTTGAGGAAGAAGAAGAAGTAGTATTTTATTTTTTTTTTTAAGACTTTAGAAACTCAGAAGCTGATCAAACATCAGGTTAAATATCGGTGGGGTGGCCGATGTCCGATATTCAGTTTTAAGGCCGATACCATAGGGGGCCGATTATATCGTGCATCCCTAGTTAACATTTAAAGTGCTGAAACCGCTATGATAAAAGGACTTGGAGAAGCAATATTTGGACTTTACAGAAAAGCTGCAGGAAACAGTGACGTTTTTGGTTTTATTGTAACCAAGTGTTTCTGCATAGTTGGTTCCTTTAGCCGGGAAGAGTATAACATAAATATTGTGTAGTTTTTGTTTTGTTCTGGTCCTGGAGAACTAAAAGAAGGTCTCCAATGACTGGGGAGCCTACATAGCCAATACCTAACCTGTACACCTGATAAAATAAGGCTATATTTACCAGGCATCTGTCCTTATATTGCTTTAATGGTCTTTTCTAAGCCTAAATGGAATTCTAGCAACGGGTGTGATAAGATGACCTTAAGAAAAGTGCCTTCTACCAGAAAGCCAGGTGGCAATAATTGACACAGCTAATTAAGAAAGTGAATCGTCATGGTGACTCATAAGCAAGCGACACCTTGCCACGGTTATAGACTAGGGATGCACGGGAAATTCGGCCACCAAATATTTTAGGTTGGATTTTCAGTCAAATTTTCGACTAACAGCACATCGGGCGCAGGGGAGAAGGATCGCAGGCAAACAGAGCAGCCTTCACAAGAAATGTTGTTCAGCGCGCAAGAAAATGACTGAAGCAAGAGAGGACAGTTTTTCAGAGTTGAGCACGCAGCAGACATGTTTTGAGTGAGGAGGTGTGAGTTTAAACGTTGTACATCTTTCTCAAAGCGCCATCAGGTACGTAATGCCACAGAAATCCAAACGTCTCCATAACCGTTCTGAAAAGGACACTCCTATGGTGGACGTGTTTGAAAGCTCAAGAAAGTTTCTCCGTGACTCTGCCATGGTAAAGGGAAAAACAAGAAAAGGTCAGTGGTAAATAATTATTTTAGATTAGTTTGTAATTGATTTATTGAAATGCCTCTAGTTTAAATTTCTTTATGTTTTTCAAGAGGGTTAGTGAACGTTGTGGTAAAAACTGCTATGCTTCTAATATTTTTGACAGTAATTTTTTTAGTGTTTCAATTTCCAGTTTTTGGCCTCGGTTTCCTCAATTTTTTTGTTTTCAGTTTAAGCCAAGAGTTTTCACTTCGGTGCATCCCTATAATAAACCAATCAATATCAACTTCATAAACCGATCTACAGCAGCTCTTAGTTAAAGTAAATCAACATACATACAAAGGGCTTTATTTACTAGAAGAAAAAAAAAATCTGTAAAAACAAAGCCTAAAACACAAAAATAAAAAATAACACAAGAGCAATCCATCAGAAAAACTTTGAATTAAACCAGAGTAAATAACCAGAGTATAGATTTTTAAAATGTCATAACATGAATGCACCTTTAGAAACAGTTGCTTCTGTATTTTATCCTTTAAGCTCAAAGAAGATTCTGAATGATTCAGATATTTCGGAAATAGTGACAGAAATATAAATATGTATATAAGCTCTATATATAAACTGTGGAAGACAGTAAATGACTCATTAATTAAATGTTAAAAGTGGCCCAAGAACAGAACAGAACTTGGGAAACTCCGTGTCCGATACCCGATTGTTGATCGTGGCAAAAAGGCACAAAATAGTTTGATGCCATAAACTAGTTCTTCACCGTACCACACAATCTATCCTCCATTTTATCACTCAGGATGTTATAATTAACTCTTCTGAATGCAGAACTGACATTCAACGATTAGACAGAAGACGTCAGGTATGCAACTTTAAAGCCCCGAAAAGGTTTCAGTAAAATGATTACATTGTTTTTCATTATAAAAATAATTAATTAGTTTATAAACTCTTTCAAAGGACCTTTTCAAAAATCCAACAAAATTTTAAAAACATATTTGTTACTGATGCATGCAGACATTAAAGCTCATTTTTCACCTGATGATAGACTGACCATAAAACATGGAAGCAAGCATCTAACACAAACAGTCGCTGTAATGCTTTCCTTCTGCTCATTACTCAGCTGAGCTAACATTACAGCTCCAACCAGTGTGTTATAAACCGTTCTGCTGACTGTGACACAAAACAAACTGAGGAGTTTTTCACTTTGGAGTTGCTATGCAACCAGGCTGGTTTCATTTTCTGCAGAAAGCAGAAACTTGCCTGTCACCGCGCAGGAAGTAATTTGGTATCAACTGCAGCTCGCTGACAATAGCGTTTCAAAATTAGGTCATTTCTCCAAATCAACCAGCTGTTATTTACATCTTTTCTTAGTTACGCCAACAAAAGGGGGGATTTATTACTTATTATTGCCTAAAAGACGAATTAAAAAAAGCTGCATAAAGAAGACATGTACTTTAATGGATGCAAGTTATAAATAGAGGATTTATAGAGAACTATGTTAAAACCACAGACATCAGAGCCTTGGTTCTTTGATGATAAATAAAAGAATGATGGTAAAGATCGGCAAAAAGCTTTAAAAAAAACTGCAGCAAACTGTGATATCTGTGGATCAACAGGTCTGCATTACAAACAGCAGAGGCTACCTGCATGCCAAAAGGCTGGAATAAGCCATAACAACCATCAACATGTGATTTTATTTTTTTAGGAGAATCATGTGTTCCTATTGGATCACACTACGATTTAGAAGTTTGCACCAAAACCTGCAAATGAGTTTGATGGGAGCAGAAAAAACCTGCAAAAGCAGATTTAAAAAATTTTATGTCAGATTTTTCCACTTTGAACATCCTGATTGGTTGACTCTGTTGTAGCAGTACCGTGTCTAGATTGTTGCTGAATCTTTAATGTTGTTTCTATTGAATCAAACTCAAAAATCATCTTATTCTCTTTTTAAAAATATTTTTTCACTACGAAGCAGCTGCTGTTGGAGCTCCTCGTACATGTGAGCCGTACGTACCCGGCCATCGTGAGTCAGGAGGATGGAGTCGCTCTTGATGTCTCTGTGGATCACACCCTGGGTGTGCAGGACAGACAGCGCCTTCAGAACTGACAGACACACGGTGGCGATCTGTTCCTCGTTCATCCTGCACAGTCAAGAAAACAGCAGAGGCGTCCAAACAATTAGGGTTTTTCCTTCCCAATATTTCTGCAGTGATGTGATTCATTTGGTTGAATTTTGTGGCACAACTGAATTTGGTGGCCATGTTATTACATTTCACAGATTTATGACACACATAAGTGCATTGGCACTGAAGATATTAAAAATCTGCTGCTGTGGAAGAACACCACATCCAACAGCTTGTTAAAAGCAGATCCTTATAGCTTAATGCAACACTGCCCCCCAGCGGACTGTTTTATTTCTGCCATGAGAAAAACTGATGAAAAAATTAACTCCATACATCAGTTTAACTAAACTTTGTAGATTCTTGGCATTAGTCTGAATGAGTGCTTTGAAGTTCTTCTAAACTTAAAAACTAGAAGAAAAGCTGCAGAAGCTTAACTAAAACCTGAAGAGCCAGCAGAGCATTTTCCCTTTGGTTCCATCTTAAAAAAGGATTTCTACATATTTCAAGCATCCTCAGTGAAGTTTCTTCATATCTTTAACATTAAGCACATCTAAGGATCAAACTTTTACCAAGCCTTGATTTCTACCTGCATGATAAAATATGCAAACAGGTTTTATTTCCCTGCTTCTTTTGGATCTGAATAAACTTGGATCCACTTTACTAAGTGAAAATATTTAAATCCCAGTCTGTGATCTTTGGCGCCTTTATTTTCTGTTTGAACATTGAAAGAATTTTAAACCTAAATTCTTAACAAAACTTGTACCTTTTACAAATCCAGTTTTCTAGACCCAGATATCCACACGCTTTAAAACAAAACGAACAAGTTCTTGGCTTTTTTGAGGGGGAAACAGATGCCTCTAATAAAAGCCTTGGAAAAAATAAACTTTGCAAGATAAAAACCCAACAGGCAGTAATGTCACCATGACGATAAGAACCAGACTGCCATGGCGGACTTGGTCTCACCTGGTGTGGGTGACGATGTCGGTGAGAGCTCCTCCCTCCAGGAACTCCATGACCACCCAGAGCTCATCCCCCACCAGGTAACTGTTGTACATCTCCACCACGTTCTCATGGTGATAGTCCCGCATGATCACCACCTGTAGGAGCCAGAGAAAAAACAACATCTCTTTCAGTTTGTGTTTAAATGTGTTCATTACACAGCTGAGGTACCGCTGAGACCTCCAGGTCCATTCAGGGCAGATCGAAAGCTTATTTTTACTAGCAGTTGTTGCTAACATTTTTATTAATATTGACATGTACAGTAATGTACCCTGGTCTGAGTTAACATTCCCCATTAATATTAGCCTGCTGCTGACAAACCAAACAGCAATAGGCCAGTATAGGAAAGAGGAAAAATAAAAATCAGCCGAAAATACCAACTGGGTGATGTGTCAGTCTATTAACAACTGGTTCATAATCTTGGTAGTTTAGCATTAAGGAATTAAAGGAAATGAGTCATAAGAAAAAGACAATAGAACCATTAATTCCTCTTTAAATAAAAATGACATATGCCAGGCATTTGTCCTGATAGTGTTTATTTGGTTCTTTTTTAGCCATAGTTTTTCCTCCATGTGCTGCCAGTATTTACTTCCCCATCCAACAGCTTGGCAGCTTCAGTTCCTGCTTCACTCAACATCAACACTTATGTTTTACCCTGAGCTCTATTCATGTCTTCTATATTTCTTTGCTCCTTTTAACACTTGATCTTGACCTTTCCTCTTTCCTTTTGCACCTCCATAGACAATCCTCCATTACTTCCTTGTTCACTCATTGCTTGCATGTGCAATATTGTACCTATGGTCATGTGGTTTTTGTTATGGTAAATATACAAAGCGCTTAGTTTACTATCAAACAGAGCATTTAGAAGGTCTAAAAAACAGAGATAAAATATAAAGTAACAGGGAGCAATAATTTCATTCTGAAAGCATTTATTTGCAACCAGAGTGAGCGGGAAAAACTGGGAACCTCTAGGGGGAAAACGTCCAAAAACCCACCTCAGGTCAGCGAGGAACTAATAAGGAGTTGATAAATGAGTTTAAACAAATAACTACATCAAAACAATTAGCATATCAATTTAAAGCTTCATTCCTGTAATCTGTTAATACAATATTACAGTTTTCCTATTATAGGAAAAGTTAAAAACTGCTGTGAAATCAGCCTTTTTTACCTCCCCCTTTCAGATAAGAGCAACTCCTCCCAACGAGTCACTTCTCATTTGTCATCCTTCTAGTTGACAGTTTTACACATATTTTCCTTCAGCTTGGCTCCTTTTCTTTGGTAAAAAAAAAAATCTAAAACTTTTGCATGAAGAGGGTTCAGATGTTGTCGCTCTACTGCTGTTAAATCTGCAGCCATAGAAGTCGCTTCAGTCAAGAAAGTGCGTCAAAGTTTCAGAGACCGCCTGCGATTTTTGAAAATAGCCTTTATGTTCAACAAAATCTGATTGAAAACGGGAGCACTTTTACTGACAGCAAAGTGTTAGAAGCACTAAAATACAGTAGATTTAATGTACATTTAAAGAACATTCAAATGGGGGAGGCAGGGGAGATTTTAAGAATAATTGTTAGCAATTTCCTCTTATGCTTCTAATATTTTTTAACCTCTGTTTTGTTAATAAACTTTACCTCCATCGATAAAGAACACTTTGGACCAATGAGTCCATTTCTCTTGAATTGAGTTAAATTTTTCTTCAGCGTGGGAAGAGGAAGAACGTGTGGTAGCTGGTGGGTAGGATTTGACATTTCAGGGGTGCAGTTCTCCCTGTTGCTAATGTAACTTTTCCTTCTACACTATATCATTTTCTACAATATAATAATTTCTTTTTGGATTTTTATCATCAGCAACAAATGAAAAGCTTAAAAAATCTCTACCCATGTTTAATTATGTCTAGCAACTCTAGGTCCATCTCCGTGACCGTTATATCTTGCAGACGCGCCATTGTTGTTTTGGAGGATAAACACTCCTGCCGGTTCCACGGATGTTCTTGTGACCATCCGTCGAAGTTGTCCAATAGGTTCCCCCTTGCACTTTGGTGGAAAACTGTTGTGCGTCCCTAGAAATTCCACACCGACGGTGCGGAAGCATATCAGCAAAATTGGTTCCAGACCAAGGCAATATTTGATGTGTGCGGTTGCAGAAGTATAATCTGCCCTTTATGCATTGAAATGAAGAAAGTTGTGGATAACTGTAAAAACGACCTAGGTACTCTGATTAGCGTAAAAATAAGAGGCAGAATTAAATAAGAAATAAATCATCCAGTCTGCCATGAAACTCTTAAATTTAGATTGTTTTTCATTTTAGTGGAAAATTAAAGGCTGGATTTTCTTAATCTTTTATTGTCAGTTTGTAAAACATGAAACAACAATCAGGGATGGGTTTTTAATTGCTAGAAAAAAAAAAAGCATAGCATCTACACAGATAAAATAAACTTCCAGGATTTAAGCTATTTTAGATGTAAAATGTTAGATTTTTTTTTTTATTTTCTTTTAAATTCATACATCTTTTTTGGGCGTTTGTACAAAGACCTTGTTTCCTACAGATTTTGTTTGTTTACTTGAAGGTGTGTACAGTTTTGGTTCTCCTCTCAAGAGGTCCTACAATCCCACAAGACATATACGTAACTCCAACCCCTGACCTGCCGTCTCTAGGGTTCAAGCTCAGTCAGCGATCGGATATAAACCCCGTACCTCATTAAAGAGAAGTTCTCGGCGCTGCTGTTTCCGAAGGTCCATCTTCTTTACGGCGACCAGTTTTCCCGTGGTCTTCACCGTGGCGATGCACACGATTCCCGTGGAGCCCTCACCGATCTTAATGTAGTGATCCAGGTAGGTCCGCGGGTCGCCAGGATCCACCACCATCTGCAGCGCCGCTCTGAACTGCTCGTGGGAAACCCTCTGGGGTTCCCTCTGGGGCGAGCGGCCCTGAGACGGAGCGGCTGACCCTGGGGGCCCGCTGGGCACAGGGGGACGCGGGGCCGGGACATTGGGGTGAGGAGTGTGTGGGTGCTGAGAGGAATCAGGGGTGAGGATGGGGTGGGAGGCGTGATGAGTTGGAGGATGGCTTATTGGGGGCTTGGATGTGGAAGAGCCTCTGGCGGAGCTGCTGGATGGTCCATTCTGAGGGGATTCATGGTGATGGCCCACCTGGATGGAAGAGATGAGAATCTGCATCAAAACTGGATCCAGTTAAAAAGAGTTAAAGAGCTTTTATGCTTCCTTTATTTCAGAGAGCCTCACTTTGTATAAAGAAACACAAATTTCACATTAGTTTTTTATATATTAAAGTCAAAGGACAGCAGAACGACAGTGAAATAAATAAACTCATTAATTTTACTCTTACAGCTGCAGTTACATAAATCAATGATACATTCATTCACAACTGGACAAAACCTCAATTATGAATTAAATGAAAATTAAGTAATAAAAGCTCCCATCTGTCAAAAAGAATAAAGAATATCGGAGATTTTCTGACCTGCAGATGTTGGTTAACCAAAAAAAGAAAATTAAAAACAATCCAGCAAAGCCTTGTTTTTTTTGGGTTACTGTTTAAAACCTCGAAATCTACGCTATTCCTGACATTTAGAACTGAAAAAGCCTTCTGGATGAGAAGCGAAACGTCTTCAAACTCGGAAACAAAGTCCAGTGTGACCTGGATGACCGATAATCTTCACCAGCATGTTGGTTAACATTGCAGAGGCCGCTGAGGCTCTTACCTGTCCCGTGGGACTGCGTCCACCTTCACTGTCTGTCCGCGGGTACGTGTTGAAAGGCCGTGTGTTCTGTTGGGCGGTCTTCATCACACCCTCAGTTATCGGCAGGTTTGGGGTTCGGATGTTTGGTCCAGAGAGAGGCCTCTTGTCCCTTGGAGATGTTGGACTGCCCTCGCGTGCAGCATAGCTGGACTTGGGCCTGTGGTCGCTCTGTTGGTCCCGGCGGACCACCTGCTCCTGAACAATGTTAAAAACAGAGCACTGTTAAACCTGAGCAGTTCTGTTTCCGACATTCAGGAAGAGATACGAGCAGATTTAAGAATTAAACTGAACTAAATGCCTTTCAGTCTGATTTAAAGTTTCCTTTGAGATGTGAAACTTTGATTGTTTTTCTTACTAGTCATGATTTAATACATTATGTGCTACCTCCACCTCTTTCTACTGAATCCAACATAGAGAGAGGATTTCAACAACGTTCATAATTTATGCATGAAAATATATCTGATTTAGCCAAAAGAAAATACTAATTTATGAGGTTATCCGAGATGTTTATTTAGAATGGAGTTAGTGACAGAAGGAAAACAAAAAATGTCTTTCTTCCTGTATTTTAGTTGCCAGAAGGCAGTCCAATCTCTGGCATGCAGATTTGTATTTCAGTTATGGTTAGGAAGTGTAAAGAAATCATTTGAATCTGTGGTTTCTGTACCTGCTCCCGAGGATCTCTGTCTCTGTGAGCAGGAGGGTGCTGACCCGAGCCGATCCGGTCCCTGTACGCCTTGCTGGGCTCTTGGCCCCGAGGCTGCTGCTGGGGCCGACCCTGCATATCCTCGTCTCTGGAATGTGGATGGACTCCACGCTGATGGTGGCGGGGCTCGCCCTGGTGGTCCTGTCTGTGTCTGTCCCTGAGAATCAGATGGATCCAGTTAGTCCAAACCTCTAGGGTCCTGCAGCTCTTCTATTGTTCACACAACCTCTCTGTTTTCTGACCTGTCTTGTCTGTCTTGGTGCGCGTAGTGCTTGTGCTGAGGGTCTCCATTCTCGTGCTCTCTGCCTACTCCACCTGAGGAGCCGGAGTCCCTGCGAGGCTGAACAGGAGGGCTGCCTCGTCGCAGGGAGTTGGAGCGAGTCACAGACATGGTGTCGAACTCATCGAGCAGCCACGTTAAGGAGCCGTCTGCTCCCAACTTGCTGCCTCTAACAATAGTCTGAGGTACAAGAGGTGAGAAAAAGGTTTTGACTGAAAGAAGAACTGGAAATGAGATTTTGATTCAAATTAGCAGACCGACACAAAGTAGTTCACAGATGTGAAGGGGGAGGAAAATTCTTCTTGGTCACAGAAAACCGAAATAGTGTCACATAAATTTGTATTTGGCCTTTTTGACTCTGCTCCTCTAAGGAACACAATAAGACAGGTCAAGGAGGACGTTATATAGAAGTTTAAAGTAAGGTAAAGGCTCCTTCATTCAGAGCTGAAGCCTTTTGGATAAAAAGGTGAAACATCTTGAAGACTAGGGCCGGGTACTGAACTTCGGTTATTTTGTGGTACCGTCCGAAATGCTTTGGTTTGGAGGAGTATCAAAACATGCCTCTTTTCGGTGCCAAGTTTCGGTGACTGGCTGTAACATTAAATGTTATTGCGTCACCCAGGAAAAATACATACGTGGTCACGCCTACCCACGGGGTTCAGGTGTATCTGTTGTGAGTCGATTGCGTGCATCGGGGGGGATCGGCCTATTTTTAGATCGGCTTGTATTTCCAGTGTAGTCGTGTTTCTCTGACTGTGACTGGCTGGATGTGCTCTCTTCATCCTCTGACATGGGAGTTGGCTCAGAGCTTGCCTGCCTGGTTGTGTGTTTCCTGGATGGGGGCCGCCTTTTACTGTTGATTTCTGTCTCTAATTCTTTCTCCGTGAACCCCAGTCGGCCTCGGCAGATGGCCGCTTACACTGAGCCTGGTTCTGCTGGAGGTTTCTTCCTGTTAAAAGGGAGTTTTTCCTCTCCACTTTCCCTACAAGCATGCTTAGTGTGAGGGATCGCCTTCGAGTCAATGAGTCGATGCAATCAACTGGTTTTCCTTAGATAGAAAACTTTGAATCACTCTGACTGTATGATCTGGTGAACTGTAAAGTACCTTGAGGTGACGTGCGTTGTGAATTGGTGCTATATGAATAAACTGAATTAAAATGCCATCCAGATCAAAAGTGTGGTTTCACTTTATTAAGATTGATGCCAATAGTGCGCAATGCAATATATGCAAAAAATACATTATTGCTAAGGCTGGCAACACGACTAATTTGAAGAAAAACTTAATCGTGCACTTGATCAATTTTAGAGCAGAAAGTTGCTCAGTGTTTGACTGCAAGAAGCGTGGACCGCAGCCAGCCCAGCCATCCTCCGCTCAGCAGCCAGTGGGCAGTGCAAAACCGAGGCGGAGTGATTCAAATAATCATCGAACTCCACCTAATCAGAGAGTACCGAAGACGTAACGGAATGTAACAGTGAGCAGACAGTGACTTGTTTGCAAGTGTTCTTTTGCACTGAAAAAAAAAAAAATATAGATATATATATATTTTTTTTTTATGTAAGAGAAGTGATTGGAATGTAAAAATCTGAGCTAAAAATAAAACTAAAGATTTGCACTTTATGTTGCGTTTTCTCTTTCTTAGAATTGATATTATAAAACTGGTATTGAAAAAAAGTGTTGTTCAGGAACCGGGAACGAAAATTTACCCAGCCCCTTTTGAAGACAAGAAAAATCGGCCATTAATTTAATATATACTGCACTAATCATTTAAAGCGGTGAGTATTAATAAGACCAAATGGAGGTTTTCTTGGAATCACTCCATATCAGACAACGAAAGTTCTTCTATCTCAGGTGAGACCATTAGACATTGAGAAAGTACGGTTTTCAGCCCTCACTACCTTTCGCGGCTCAACAGTCGTGATGATGGTTGCGTCGATGAACGGTTTCGGCCTCTTGGCGGTGTCTTCGATGAGGGACTGCCATTGGCGCGGCAGCCCAACGAATTTCTGCTCCTGCTCGTCAAAGTCTGTGTGGACACGGTGCTCAAAGTTGGATGGAGCAGAGATCTGGACTCGAGGCTTCTTCTTTTTGGCAAACATGGTGCTGATGGAGGAGGCTGCTGCAAGCAAGCATCAGATCTGCATCAAGGAAGAATAAAAGAGAAAAAGATTGAAGGATAAAGTTCAGATTGAAAATCACAATTAAAAAAAACGCCTTAATTAGCAAATGAGTATGAATGAAAAAAACATTTATAGCCATCTTATATTTCCCTTAGTGTGATGCTATCCAACTTTTGTCACCGATAGAGTGTTATGCATATATCTTACAGAATTAACCACTACACTTCAACTGAAAGATCATTGGGCTGGATGGTGGCATTAATCTAGCTCCGACCTTTAGATGAAGGTTATCAGGTCAACCAGAGCCTGAAGCCAATATTCAAAGCAAGACAACAGCTCTAAGGATTTCCTAATGGGAACATATCAGCCAGTATGGAGAGAGATAAAAGTGGAGATGGAGCGGCATCTTTGAAAAGGTCACTTCCCAAACATAACAAGCAGCTTTTATAAATTATTGGAGGTAAATACATTTCAGCTCTGAGCTTTTCAGCTTCGTTACAAGGGAGGTAAAACAAAACATAATTTACAAGGTGAAAATTTACCAAGAAGTCAACTTAATGTAAATATTGGGTCCAAAAAAAAAAAAACAGGGATGTATGATGATGGAATAGGAATGTCCCGGTTCGATATTAGCCCAAAAAAACAACATAAAAATGTTGGATTTTATCAGCCGCCATTTAAAATCATGCTGATAGAAACACTCTGCTTCTTTTAATATTACGTGATGTTGAGGCCTTTTTACACTCACCGGCCACTTTATTAGGTACCCCATGCTAGTAACGGGTTGGACCCCCTTTTGCCTTCAGAACTGCCTCAATTCTTCGTGGCATAGATTCAACAAGATGCTGGAAGCATTCCTCAGGGAGTTTGGTCCATATTGACATGATGGCATCACACAGTTGCCACAGATTCGTCGGCTGCACATCCATGATGCTCAATTGGTACCAAGGGTCCCAAAGAGTGACAAGAAAATCTTTCCCACACCATGACACCACTACCACCAGCCTGAACCGTTGATACAAGGCAGGATGGATCCATGCTTTCATGTTGTAGATGCCAAATTCTGACCCTACCCTCCGAATGTCGCAGCAGAAATCGAGACTCATCAGACCAGGCAACGTTTTTCCAATCTTCTATTGTCCAATTTCGATGAGCTTGTGCAAATTGTAGCCTCAGTTTCCTGTTCTTAGCTGAAAGGAGTGGCACCCGGTTTGGTCTTCTGCTGCTGTAGCCCATCTGCCTCAAAGTTCGACGTACTGTGCGTTCAGAGATGCTCTTCTGCCCACCTTGGTTGTAACGGGTGGTTATTTGAGTCACTGTTGCCCTTCTATCAGCTCGAACCAGTCTGGCCATTCTCCTCTGACCTCTGGCATCAACAAGGCATTTCCGCCCAAAAGAACTGCCGCTCACTGGATGTGTTTTCTTTTTCGGACCATTCTCTGTAAACCCTAGAGATGGTTGTGCGTGAAAATCCCAGCAAATCAGCAGTTTCTGAAATACTCAGATCAGCCCTTCTGGCACCAACAATCATGCCACGTTCAAAGTCACTCAAATCACCTTTCTTCCCCATACTGATGCTTGGTTTGAACTGCAGGAGATTGTCTTGACCATGTCTACATGCCTAAATGCACTGAGTTGCCGCCATGTGATTGGCTGCTTAGAAATTAAGAGTCAACAAGCAGTTGGACAGATGTACCTAATAAAGTGGCCGGTGAGTGTACATTCTACTAAAATAAAAAAAGCCGGTATGATTTATGCTAGTATTATATCTCTTCAATATCGATATCGGCCAATTCTCAAAGCTGCAGTGTCAGAATCATATAGGAAAAGAAAAGTTGTACCTGGACACCCCAAGTACTTGATACACATTACTTTAGGGCTGGGGCACATTAAGAACAAAATAGATAAAACACTGCAGATTATTGCAATAGTTATAAGATTTTTGTTTCTTTCTGTGATGATTTCATAGTAAACTGAGCATTAAAAAAAAATATTTCAAATTAAACAATTTTTTTTTGTCTTAAGCACCTCTGACTTCCAAAACTTTTCATGTTGCATTTAACTAGTGTCAGCAACAATATCAGAGGCACAGTCGGAATGCATGAATTTTGTCGTCATATGCATTTTGCTTTCAGTAATATTACATTAACAAATATGATATACTAAGTAACCTTGATAACAGCTACCAATTAAAACATACTCATCCAATATTATTTAATGTAATTATTCTGAGCCAAATGAAAATTGCTTTAGAAATGAATGAGAGTATAAATGTAGATTTTTAAATGTATCTTTTAAAAAAAAAAGCTTTCTTTCACCAGAAGGCCTTATGGATATTTGCAGGTCACTTTAATCTGTAATATTTAAAGAAAAAAATTTGCAGCAAGTTTAAGAAACCAGGAACAAAGAATTTAAATAACTCAACAATAAAGAAACATAAAGTAAAGAAACATAAAACAAATTGCTCGAATAATGTGTTTATCTGTTAACCCTTTAAAGCCCGATCCAAGAATTTAAAAAAACAGAAAATAACAATTTTTTTGTTTGAAGTCCTTATTTGGCCTTTTAACAAAATATGTAAAAAGAAAAAACAGAAATACATTTTTGACATTAATAATTTATTACTATGCGATAAGTCAAGATTATTTTTTGTGTAGTCTTCTGCCCTCTGTTATCAGGTATATCTGATTGTGTACAATAGGATTTTGAGCAAAGTGAGACGCAAAACATTTCAGAAACCGTATGTATCAAATATGATAGATTTGGCATTACAGGGTTAACAGATGTTTAACAGATAACATCTGTTAACAGCCGTTTCAACCGTTGCATTTCCGAATTCTCCCAAGTGGTGCCCGACTTTACACGCGTGAATAAATTGAATGTGCTAGGTCGGTTATCAAGGGGGCGGGATTCTCGTGGCTGAAGGTTCACAAGCCCATTGGTTGTGACTAGTTTCTCGGAAGCATCTTGCTAACCAGTTAGCAACTTAGTGCTAGTAGGTTCCCAATGGGAAATTCCATTGGGACCAAGCAGCACTAAATTGGTGACTCAGAAACGACACTGTCAAGGAAGTAGGATGTAGTAGATTAGAAGTAGAGAATTAGCAAATTATTCATCTATTAATCTAATAATTATTTTAATTCAGGGAAACTATGGTGCTTTTTCTGCTTTAGCAAAAATAATGACAGTTTTGGGAAAATGTATATTCCATAGATTGAATAATTGGGTCCAAATCACTTCTAATGTTTAGTCTATTTAGAATACCAATTAAACTACAATGGGGAAACCAGTTTGCTTAAACAAGCACCCCTCCATCCATTTTCTAACACGCTTACCCCGAGTGGGGTAAGCAGTCATTGGGCGACAGGCGGGGTACACCCTGGACAGGTCGCCAGTCCATCGCAGCGCAAGACAAAAACAGCACCTTCATACAAAATCTAAACAAGTTATTTACAAGGAAAAAAATCTACAAAAAACCCCACAAAGCAAAGCTTCTTGCAAGAGAGGAATATTATTATTTAAATAACATGTAATGAGAAATATATAATTTTTTAAAACAAAAATAAACAGATATTTTATGGCGGGACTGATGGGTGGACAGTGCTGCACATTTGCATTGATAATAAAATGACCTGATTTAATGAACTTTTTTTTTTCCTTTAACATTTCAATGACAGAGGAGCTCTGGAAACACTCAGCCTGCTGTTTATAGGAGCTTAGGCTCACACAGCACGTGGATGAGAGGAATGAAGAATCCATAAAGGAAGTCCGCTTTGTCAACATCCTCCTCTCTCCCACCTCCTTCAGGAAGGAGCTGGCTCTCCGAAGCAGGTTATTCAGCCTCTTCCTGCTCCGCTCGCTGCTGCCACACCCCCCAGCAGATCATCACCACAGTGTCATAGAAAGTTTATCAGGACCTCAGACTGTTATGGGTAAGATGTGACTGGATCAGGAGGATTAAAACAGCCATCAACCACAGAAGCGCACCTGGAGGAGGTGATCATTGGATCTAGACAAACCAACCGTGGGGTTTGCTTTAAATGGAATAAAAAACCTTGGACATGAAAACGACCTCGGCTAAATTTATAAATTCAAGTATTTGCAGGAATACTTTTCCCTGGCAGTAGAAATAATTATCAAAATGGAAGATTCCTGTTTAGATCAACTAAATGCTGAAATAAACATCTATGTGGCAATAATAAAAAACAGAATTATTGTAGAAATAAAAGCAGAGCACATATTGATAACACTACAGTTTACTGAGAATAAAATAGAAAATCCCTTTATTTTCACCAAATGAGGAATTTTTTTGTGCAATAATAGCAAAGTGACAGGAATCTAAAATAATAAAACTCACAAAAAATTACAATTATGTTCTTTTAATTGTAAGTGTATAAAAAAATACACAAAATATTTTACATTAGGAGCCAAAATAACCAAATACTGTGCTATTATTAACAAAATGACTGAATGTAGAGCTGATTAAAGGTTAATCTAAAAACACAATTTTACAATAAGCGACAGTTAAAGCAGCAAATAGCAAAAAACAGTCAAGATGTTGCTAAAATGAGCGAAAAAACTAAAAACAGCAGCATGTATGTAAACTCCTACTGAGCTTGTAGGGAGCAGGGATGGTTTTAACGTCTTCCAGCTGCTGGTAGGAAGGATCTGTGATAACGCTACCTGCATGTTAAACCACAGGCTAAGGCCGTTTTTACAGGAATAACAGACGATCAACATACGGACCTTAAAATAGATCTAGCTTCTGAGATTAAATGCACTCAACATTAATGTCATACAGATATTTTCTAGCATGAGGAAGAAAAGCCACTTCCAGATGTGCTGACAGGCAAAAAGATCATTTTCCTTAAACATTTAAATGAAAGATGTTTACATTTCAGAAGGTCAATGTGAGACAAGCTCTGCACACTAAGGATTGGTTATCCTCCCGCAGCAGTGTGTCGCAGGTATTTTTGATTTATGCCCAATATTGAAGCGTGGTCTGCCATGTTTTATTC